TTTTCTTTTTCCTATGTTGTAGTGTACATCCTCATTGTATTACTAGCTGGACTAGTTTAGCTCGGTTTTACCTTTATCTTGCCCACATTTTTCTGGCCGAGATACTCTATCTCGGCTGACAATCACCGTGGGCAAAACTGTAAATTTCTTTAACCGATGTTATTGCCTTGGTGAAGAAAAAGAAAAAGTTTGTCACATGCCAGGCCCCCTTTAGTCTAAATCCATAGCTCGGCTAAAGAGTGCAAAAAGAGTTGGTCAAACCAGCCAACCTTCCTGAGCTTAGATCCTTATCTCGCCTTAAGGAAGAAAAAAATGTTGGTCAAACTTGCCAGCCTTCCTGAGCCTCGATCCTTATCTCAGCTAGAGGAAGTAAAAAGTGTTGGTCAAACCTGCTAACCATCCTGAGCCTAGATCCTTATCTCGGCTAGAGGAAGTAAAAAGTGTTGGTCAAACATACCAACCTTCCTGGGCCAAGATCCTTATCTTGGCTAGAGGAAGTAAAAAGTGTTGGTTAAACCTGCCAACTTTCTTTAGTTACCCCCTAGTCGGGCTGTGTGTACGAACAATTTATACAAACAGGGGATAGAGTTTTCACCGAAAAAATGTCTACTTGTTTTATTGAAAAGAAAAACTATAAGTGTTTTAAGAAAGAGCTAAAAATAAAATATTTTGAGATTGGCCGTATTCCATGGCCGTGGAATAGCTCTGCCGTCCACATCTTCTAGGTGATATGCCTCTTTTCCTGCCAAGCCAATCACTCTATACGGTCCTTCCCAATTGGGTCCTAATTTGCCATCTCCAAGAACCAAAGTGTTGTCCATTACTTTGCGTAGTACCCAATCCCTAATCTTGAATTGCCTCGGGTGTACCGTTTTATTATATTTCCTGGACAACTCCTGTTGATATGAGACAATGTGCACCAATGCCCTTTCTGTTCTTTCTTCTGCCAGATCTAATTCTAGGGCTAGGGCCTCTCCATTTAAGTCTGGATCAAAATTTTCGCTTCTAATGGTGAGGAGGCCAACTTCTAGAGGGCTTACAGCCTCCATGCCATAGGCCAAAGAAAAATGTGTATCGTCAGTTGACCACCGAGGTGTAGTTCGGTAAGTATATATGACATAGGGAAGCTCCTCAGCCTATTTGCCTTTTGCTTTTTTCAACCTCTTTTTCAGTCTGTCCAAGACTACTTTATTGGAAGTTTTAGCCAGCCATTGGCTTGGGGGTACACCAGCGTAGAGTTATAAATTCTATCTTGTATTCTTTACAAAAATCCCTAAAGATTTTTCCATCGAACTAAGTGCTGTTGTCAGATATCAAGGCATTTGGGATCCCAAACCGGGTTATGATGTTCTGCCAGACAAACTTCTTGACGTCTTTTTCTTTTATGGATGCGAGTGCTTCCGCTTCCACCCACTTTGTGAAGTAGTCCATTGCCGTAAGAAAAAACTTTCTGTTGCTTGGTGCGGTTGGGAGTGGTCCCATTATATCCAGGCCCCACATTATAAAGGGCCAAGGGCTAGTCAAAGGTAGGAGTTCTCTGGTCGGTTGATGTATTTGATATGCAAACTTCTAACATTTCTCACACTTCTTGACATATTTCTCTGCGTCTGCTTGCATGTATGGCCACCAATACCCTTGGAAGACAGCTTGGTAGGCCAGGGATCGCCCTCTTTGATGACTGCCACACACGCCTTCGTGAATTTCAAACAAAAATGCCTTGATCTTGTTAGGATAAACGCACATCAAGTATGATCCTGTGAAGGATTTCTTGAACAACGCCTGGGATGGGGAAAGTCAAAACCGTTGTGATTTGGCGAGAATCTTGCTGGCTTCCTTATTTTTTTCAAGTAAAATGCTGTCTTTCAAAAACACTGTGATGGGGTCTGTCTAGGAAGGACCTAGATCAACGCAGCATGTTTTGGCTGTTTTTGGTTCTTCAATGCTTGGTCTTGGCAGGAAGTCTATTAACTACGGGTGTGGGATAGACGTATCTGCCACTGACGCGAAACCGGCCAGCTCATCTACTTTACTATTTTCCTCCCGGTTGATTTGATCTATCCTTACCGCTTCAAATTTCATGATCTTCTTTTTGACCAACTCTTGGTACTTAACCATTTTTTCATCTTTTGTCTCGTAGTCGCCCGAAATTTGGTTGACTACAAGTTGGGAGTCACGTATACCATTAGCTCGGTGGCCTTTATGCGAAATGCTAACTTCAAACCTACTAACAATGCTTCGTACTCCACCTCGTTGTTGGATGCTAGAAAACCAAGGTTGATTGCCTGTTCAATGGTCAAGCCATCCGGTGAGATGAGAACTATGTCGAGTCCTGCACCGCTCCATCTACGAAGAGCTTTCACATCTCTCCCACAAACAACTTCCAGCAAGTGAAGGGATCTGATGACGCTTTAGGATCAGGGGCATCACTGCCAATGTTATCTTCTTCTAAGTTGCGGGTCATTGTTATAATCTGGTCCTCACTGCTTGGTTGCCTTAGGACTAGATTTCCAGTCGGGTCTTTGCCTGTCATACTACAGGTTGCTCATTCTTCCCTTTTTATAAGGCTGAGTGGTTTGTCATGCAATTGAGTACCCCGTTGTAGGGGTCGCGCTATCCCTACGACACCTTCCCTCCTTTCCCCGATTAAGTTGATGGGGCAAACCTGATGACTTCATAGGGCAAATTTGACTACGAAGTCCATCAATACCTGTGCTTTTATAGCGATTCTTGGCCGAAACTTAATGTCGAACTGCCCTAGCTCCACTACCCATCTCAAAATTCGTCTAGAAAAATTCGCCCTCTCAAATAAGGCTTTTAATGGGAAAGTTGTTAAAATAATTACAGTGTGGGCGTGGAAGTAGTGTGACAATTTTCTATAAGCCATCATTAAAGCTAAGGCTAACTTCTCCAATGGCAGGTACCTTGTTTCGGCACCCAGCAATGTCTTGCTAACATAAAAAATAGGTAGGTGTTGTATTCCCTCAGCTCGTATCAACACTGTGCTAACTGCATGTTGGGAAACTGCTAGGTATAAAAAGAGTTCCTCTCTTGGTACTGGGGTTACTAACAACGAAGGAGAAGTCATGTACTCTTTCAAGCTTTCCAAAGCGCGGTCGCACTCGTCATCCCACTCAAACTTGGCCTTTAGTGCCTAAAAAAATGGTCGACACTTATCTGATGACCGACTTATAAATTGGTTTAGCACGGCTGCTAGGCTAGTGAGATGCTGCACCTCCTTGATTGTGTTGGGCCTTTCGAGATCTTGAATGGCTCTGATCTAAGACGAATCGGCTTCTATACCTCGGTTGGTCATTAGAAAGCCAAGGAATTTTCCTGATCCCACACCAAATGCACACTTGGATGCGTTCAGTCACAGTCCGTGGGTCTTCAAAATTTGAAACATCTCAGCTAGGTCCTTGAGATGGTCCTCATCATTCTTGCTTTTGACCACCATATCATCTATGTAAGCTTCCAGTGTTCTACCTACCAACGGCTTAAACATTTTGGTGATCATCCGCTGGAATGTTGCCCCCGTATTTTTTAGGCCAAAGGGCATGACCTTATAGTAATATAATCTCCAGGGTGTTGTAAACGACGTGACCTCTTGGTCCGGTTCATACATAGCGATCTGATGGTAACCGCGATATGCATCAAGAAAGCTAAGTTGGTTATGTCCTGCAATTAGTCTATTCATGGTAGAGGAAAGCTATTTTTCGGGCATGTTTTGTTGACTGTCTTGTAGTCCACACAAAAGCTCCATTTGCCGTTCTTTTTTGGCACCATTACCGTGTTAGAAATCCACCTAGGATAGTGTATTTCTCTGATTGCCCCTATTTCCAATAGGTTTCCTACTTCTTCTGCCACTATCTCTGCGTAGTGGACTGTCGATTAGTGAGTTCGCTGTATAATTGGTCTAACGGTTGGATGGACATTGAGTTGATGGCAGATGAAGTTAGGGTCAATGCCAAGCATGTTATACGGCGTCCAGACAAACATTTCGATATTAAAGGTCAAAAATTTCATGATCTCTATTCTCTCGGTGTTGGACAGAGCCGAGCCGAGCAAAATGAACCTCTCTGGGTTTTCTTATCTACCCATACCTCCACCAAGTCTTCCAATGCGTTCTGTTTGGTTGCCTTGCCGACGTTTGCGAACAACTCGTTGTTTTTTGATTCCTCAACCATTTACACGAACCCTTTTGCAGTCTGGCTGCCGTTTATTGTTATGAAGCACTGCTTGGACATGATTTGGTCTCCCAAGACCTCTTCAATCACTTCGGCTTCATTGGGAAACCGTAACACTTGATGGTAGGTTGATGCTATTGCTCGCATGGCACGCAACCATGCTCTTCCCAAGATTATGTTGTAAGTGGATGGGACTTTAAATACCCAAAATTCCACTTGTTTTGTCATTTTTCCTGCTTTGACTGGCAAGATTTTCTTGCCCACTAGCCATTTTGCCATCGAGTTGAAGCCGACCAGAGGGGATGTCATGGGTGCTAGATTTTTGTCCTCTAACTTGAGTTGCTTGAAGGTCTCATAGTACATTATCTCGCATGAACTGCCTTGGTCAATCAGGATCCGTTTGATGTCGAAATTCATGATGCACAAAGTCACCATTGGTGCGTCATTGTGAGGGCTTAGTAACCTTGCTAAGTCCTTGTCAGAAAAGGTGATGACGTTTGTAGCCTCTGTTTTTTCTTTTTCCATGGTAGGTTGTGCACTTAGTACCTCTCTCATGTGCTCAGCTTTTTTGATCATCCCTTTGAGTTCATATATTCGTTCGGGCTCGATGATTCCATGTATCACATTGATTACACCTTGGGGTGGACCGTCAGCTGGCGTTCTATCTGGCCTGTTGCGGTCCGGGGGGCTGGCTGTGCTCCCCCCTCAATATATTGGTCCAGGTGGCCTGTGACCACTAACTATTCCAGATGTTGCCTTAAAGGCATATAGTTTTTAGTTTAGTGTCACTTTTCATCCTGGAAGGTGCAACGGTACCTATCGTCGTAGCCTCTCTACATTTTCTCCCAACTTGGCTGGCTGCCGAATGAAGGGTTCATCGTGTATCTCGCTAAGAATTTGGTAGATAGGTTTATTGAACACCGTAGTGATGGCGGTCTGGACTCTCAACTTCCTCACTTGGAAGTCATCTTGCCTGCCCCTACCATTTTTGTTCAGTCGTTCTTCTTGGCTGACCGTGTTGACTTTTCTTACAGGTTTTCTGTCTGACATTGCTATTGTACCAGATTTTACTTTGGCGCGAATGCCATCTTCTTCTACCCGAATGTGCTGATGTACTCTTTCCATTAGGGTCTCCATTGTGAGAGGTGACATCATCGTCATTGAATCCCTTAAGTTATTGCTTGCCGGCATACCTCGTTTATACTGTGCGATAACGAGGTTTGTGGGGTAATCTCCAATTTGATTAAAAGTCTCCCAATACCGGTTGTTGTAAGACTTCAATGTTTCTTTCTTGCCCATGTCTATGGAGAGCAGCTGGTCAATCTCCATTGGTGTCTTGGTGTTTGTTCTGAATCTGGTCACAAATGCCTCTGCAAGTTGCGCCCACGAAGCTATGCTGCCTTTTAGCTACCTCTCAAACCATGCCAAACCTAGGTCACCTAGGCTAGAAGGAAACATGATACACATTAGTGCCTCGTTTTGTCAATATATGGCCATAACCTGGCAAAAGTGGCTGAAGTGCATATAGGGGTTCGACTTTCCCTCATAAGTTGTGAATTTGGGTTGATGGAAGCCTAAGGGTACTGGTGCGTTCTCAATTGCCGGAACGAACGGCGAGCTGTGTAACCTTGCTAACACTTTGTCTGCTGGTTTGTAAGCAAGGCATGGTACTGGCATCTCGACCTCAACACTCCCATGTGTCCTAGAAGTCAACTGTTGTAGAGCTGAGACCCTCCGAGGGTCGCGAGCCTGGGTGTCCTCCCTTCTTCGGGCCCTTTCCTCTAGTACTGTTCGCAAGTCTGTCGATGTAGACAACTCTGTGTGTCTAGATGTCATTTGGTGCGAATGTGAGGGCCAATAACTACTTCCCTCAATCCAAGACTTTTTAGTTCTCATTCTCACAGACCTGGAGAAACGAGTCCTGGAAGTCCTTGATTGTGTGTCACCTGTCCTGAGACTTCTACTTTCAGCTTGTGACGGTGTGACTTGCCTGTCACGCTCTTCTGGGTGGCAAGAGTGCGTGTTGCCTTTGCGCCTCTCTTCTTCTGCCATCCCTTTGCCTTTTATCTGGCGCTTCATCGTCTCTATGTCCGCCGCCATCTTTCTTATCAATTCGTTTTGCTCCCTTACGCAATCCTCTAGAACCTGAGGATCTATCATCCGCTTTTACCTGTCAGGGCTCTGAGAGCGACGAGGACTTGAGCCCCGTCTTTCTCATGTGTCTCTCCATGAGTTTCGTCGCTGGGGATCTAATTCTGTCATGGGCGGGATAAGAGGTAAACCTTCGCGCCTCCCGCTCCCTTCCGGGATTTTGCCCATCAATAGCAGAATGTGGCAAGTCTTCATTGTGTGCCATTGATTTTAATTGAAAAGGAAACTCAATCAAAAGGTTTGTTCTCTCTGTGTTTTCCACAGATAGCGCCAATTGTACGAGCACGAAATAATCTTCTCATATAATCCTGTTAATCAAGTTTGCACTCCCTCAAACGTCGTCACTTTACTACCTGAAAACACAAATGTGAGTTAGCCGGCGGGTGTGTACCGAAAACCTCTCCGATGCCTAAGTCAGCAAAATAGACAATAGACACAAAAACTCTGTGTATTTGGGAATAAGAATTGTTATATCTGTGCATAGGTCCAGTCATGAGCTTTTATAGATTCTGCCTGACCCAATTCTAGAAGGACTCCAACTTTCCTTAACAAAGTCCTCCTCGAAATCACACACCTAGGATAATGCCTATCCTTAAGACACCCTTCTCACTGCCAATCAAACGAGATGGGTTCAACCTTTTTACCTCGGTTGGTATCATACTCAACCGAACCAACACGTCCGCAATGCTTTAGGCAGCACCGAGGTAAACCTTGCTGCAGGATGGCGTCCTGTAGAGCTACCTTTAGCTCAGTCCGTTTCCCTACTAACACCTCGACCCTCTATGGGGTTTAGCGTTGGATAGCTAGGTCAAAGCCCTAGCAACCTACTACTGGCTAGCTTGGTGCCTAAACGGTCCAAGACCGAGCTATCCAAACACTGGCCACAAAAACCTGAAGCTCGGCCCAATGGGCCTAGCGCGGTCCAATTTAATCACATAAATTACTCTCTCAGTAACATATCAATGTACTTGAAAATTATTATTGAGTCCATAGTCCATTTGAAAATTATGTGTTGCCACAATTTTGCATCATTATCTTCATTGCCTACATGACTATATTAGTAAGCCTCGCATCTCTAGTCGTATAATTCTTAGTTGTTCAATTTATACGAGACAATTGCAACATATGAAATTACATATCTAGCTATTTAAAATAAGAGTAAATTATAAATATATCTTCTCAGATTTGCTTAAAATATGAATTGCCTCTGTAGTTTGAAAAATTACAAATACCTCCCTATCAGAATTTTTTATTTAATAGAATTAATTAAAAAAGTAAAAATTTTAACTGTTCACCTATACAATAATAAACTTATCTGAATTATTTATTAAAATAAAATTTTAATATTATTAAAAACTGTTAATTGACTGGATGATTTATTAATAAAATAATCTATTTGTTATGAAATTAAAAATCTTAAGAAGTATAATATAATCTTTAGAATCACATAAATAATTTATAATTTAAATAAATTTCAAACAATGTATTTATAATTTACCCTTAAAATAAAATAGATAACATGTAGCAATTCTGACCTCTAATCCATATGATCACATGGGAAAGAGAAAAAAAAGAACAATAAATATGAACTTTGAAGCAAGAATTTAGGTGGCCTTGTTTAGAAGAAAATTCAATCCAAAAAAAAGCAAAGATATGACATGAAATCCACGATAAGGATCAAACCGATAAATAATAAAAAAAAACATCATGACCAATAAAATTTGACAATCGTGAAAATAAATAGTACACCAAATGTGAAAAGTCCTTTCTATACATCACAAACGACAATTTTTTTTGTGATTTTTATCATGAGCTATTTTTACATTTCACATTATTATAAATAAGATTATAAATGAATAAAGAGGAGCTGCGCTTTGTAATGTTTGAATTTGACTTATTTGTTTACCAAATTGGAAAATTATTCAAACTTGAGTTCAGCCAAGCTCCTTAATACTAAGTCTTCGTTTGGGAAGTGGGTTGACTTTTTAGTTTTTAATTTTTTTGACTATTTTAGCCTGGGCTATTTTCGCCTGGTTTGGGAAGGACTTTTTGATTTTTTTAACTTTTTTTGTGAGAGAGGATTGTAATGATTATGGGTTGGATTTGATGTTTTGTTTTTTGTGGCTAAAATAACCTATTTTGATTTTTGTGACTATTTTAGCCAAAAAAACCTGACTTTTTTCTTCTCAAACGGAGCCTAATAATGCTCAAACTTGACTTGAAACTCAATAATAAGAAAAAAATTCAACCCGATAGTCAAGCTTGATCAATTTGCATATATATATATATAACATATTTTACATTATCTAATATAAAAATAATATATTTTTTATTATTTAAATAAATAATAATAAATGAGTGGAATTAGTTATAACTTAAGCTTAGCTTGTTTATTAAAAAAAGTTTAAAAATTTAATTTGAACTCATTTATATACCTAACGAATCGAGTCAAATCATATCTTTACCAAGTTAAATCGAGCTTAACTAAACCCTAATTATCGACATCAATTAGAACAGGACATAAAACACTTCTTACTCACAAAAATCATGGACTCCACACTATCAACATGATGCAAGGTTGAATTATTTGTAAGTAGAAAGTGTTTTAGGTGGATCTCTCACACTTTTTATGAATTGAAAATGTTTTATAGTCATTTAATTCACTAAACTTCATTCTTTTACATTCCTTCCCCTACATCAATTTCATCCACAATTGCTTTGTAAAATTCAGAACAAAAACAAAGCAAGGGTTTGGCATTACAAACCCTACCTCTTCCATCTCCACTACAGATGATAAAGATAAGATTGGAGAGTCTATGAGATAAACAACTTGATCAAACTTGAATATATATATATATATATATATGTAACTATTGATTAGAATAGACCCCTTAATCTCTTGTCCCCTAAACTTTAAGAAACCCATGTTCTACCAATCCTTTTCCTCCAAATATCTTTATCACTGTCCAATCTGTTCTCCTTGTCTACTACCCAGGGAAGGGAATGTCATTAGATAACTAGGCTGGGGGTCTTACACGTGGCAGCTCATAGACAATACAAAGAGAGGATCAAATTTAATTGAACCTTTATGTGCTTGGCAAATTATATTAGGAAAATTGTAATGGCATCTCCAAATCCATTGCTATTGTGAGTTGTTAAATTACAAAAACAATTAATAAAGTATTTGTTGTTGTTGTTTTTTCTAATGATAAAAAGTTATATGTTAGTGTTAGTAATGGGCGTCCATGTGGCATAACCATTTGAATTTGAATTTGAACCTTATTCAAATAGATTTTGAAATTGAATTCAAACTTATTTAGGATAACTACTCAGCATACAGATATTATCTCCATTAATTAAGATTGATAGATAATAATAACACATTATATATCTGGTATATGGGTTATGAGTGATTATGAGAGAAACAACGTATGATCTGAGTTTTACCCATATACTGACTCTTTCTCAAAAACAACGATCAAGTCATTTGCACTGTGATTTGTGTGGGTGATATTCATTTTGTAATATCACTTCACTGCTGGGTTGGTTCATCTAAAGATTCTGGAAGCACGTGATTTACCCACGAGGTTCTATCATCTAAAGGTATGATCTAAATATTTTATCCGCTGCGTTTTTATACTATGATTTACATTGGTATCAGAGCCATAAATATGTGTATATTTTTTATATAAATATATATACATGATATATGCATGAATATTAATGGAGGAGGAAGATGAAGTGCACGGTTTTTTTTTTTTTTTTTTAAGACCATAAATGATTTTATTTTGAAAAAAGGAGTCCGGTAGTACAAAAATCGGACCAGAAAGCACCTTGGAAGGCGGCGCGTGCAGACCACGGGCCACTTGACGCCGTGAGCCGCAGCCACGCACTCCCACGCGCAGCCACGCGCCCACACTCGCCAGACGCCCTACAGACGCGCCTGCACGCACCATCACGCGCGCGTCAGCGGCGCTGTCCACGCGCACGCCGTCCGCGCCTCGCACGCGCGCCGCGTGCTGGAGCCGAGCGCCGAGCCGCGTTTGAGCCGTGCGTCGAGCCGCACCGAGCCGCGGGCTGAGCCGCGCGCCGAGCCGCGCTGAGCCGCTCCTTGAGCCGACTCGCGCCGAGTTGCGCTAAGCGGCGGCGAGCCAAGCCGAGCCGTTTTTCCCGCCTGG